ATGGCAGTATTAATTACTCTCTTGGATTTCTGTTTAGACCTGTTTCATGGATTCCATTTCTTTCCTATGTTGGGCATTTTTTTCTTTCCATCATTTTTCTAAGCTTATCTATTCTTTTATCTGTGCCTTCTCTAATATCTTTGATTTTAAGCAACATATCTTTTTGAACCTGAGAGGTTATTTTCTATGTAACCTTTTCCACTTGTTTTTTCACCTTTGTTGCTATAATTTTAGAAAGTTCTAGTGTTTAACTTTCAGTTTGTCTATCTCATTGTGTTTTGAACTTGTCTTGGGTGGGCTGGGGATATAGGGTTGCATTTTGCTTCTGTGTCTTGTCATTTTCTTTTTTCTCTATTTTATTTTGTTTTCTATGTTGATGTTTGCTGATTTCTTATGATAGCTTTAATCACTAATATAGAGTTTTTCCTAGTAGGTGTCTGTTGTTCAGGGATATCCTCTAGATATAAGTGGTTCTTTATAGCTATCCCAAGAACCTACCTTCCCAACTTGTAGAGAATGCAAAGTTACTATTTGACTCAGCAACCAATCCTTTGGTACTGGATTGTGGTGGTGACTATGACCCCATACAATCACAGCATTATCATACAGGGGAGAAAAACTGATTATGACCTGTATGACATCTAAGGCAGTGCAGTTGGTAATAACAATAGTTTCAAATATTGCTTAACTACTGACAAACTATGATAACCATTAACCTGTTATCTCCAAAAACAGGAGCAAACTCTAAAGTTATATAACAAAATCAAGCATATGCCATGTACTTGTATGCAGTGATTTTTCCTTAGTGGAGTGATTTTACACTTTTGTGGGGTGGGGGTGGGTCAGATGGGTAGGGGACAGGATAAAGTAATGAATGAGGTAAAATATAGTAGAGTCAAGGCTGAAGGTCAAAGGATGATCACCCAAGTGTTGGGCAACTGGAGGACATGGGGAGGGGGAAGAATGAAATGGAATTTGAAGGAGTAATCAGAAAGGAAAGAGACAATGTTTCTCACTTGAAAGTTTAAATTAAAAAAGTAGTTGAAGAAAGAGAGAAAGAAGATCAATAGAAAAAACCAAAAGTTATAGGAAAGAAACCTAAACAGTGAAAAGAAAGAAGGAAGAAAGAGAAAGAGAATAGAAAAGAAAGGAAGAAAAGAAGAAAAGAAAAAGTAGACCCAAGAAAGAGAGGAGAGAAAATAAAAAAAAAATCCAGAAACAACAATAACCACAAACTACAAGACAAAACAAGATGACTTCCAACCAGACAGGAAAAAGCCAATCAGACAAACAAGGGAGAATAAAAGTAGTAAAATACCTCTGGTACTAACAGTTCTGTGATAGTGTCCATGTCAGATCCCAGAAATGTGTTGTGTACTCCAGCCAAGTTTGCCATGGGAATTGTGCTGGGTATGGAGCTGATCTTGGCTTCTGGCTGTGTGGTCTTCTGTTGGTGCAGTTCTCCAGAGCCCAACTGCTAGCTCCTTGCTTCTACTTCACACATTTCCACATTGCTGGCTTTGTTGATTACTGTATGCCTGGGACCAGCTGTCCTGGTCTTGTGGGTTCTGGTTGGTTCATCCTCTAAAGCCGTGCGCACCTCAACTTTTTTTAAAAATGAGGAAAATTCTACTTTTGTTTGGATTGTGGTAAAGATTGGTAGTGGAGAGAAATTTATATCCTCACATTTATATGCTTCTTTATATCAAAGGAGAATTAAGGCCATTGTTCTGGTGAGAGATTTATTTTTAACTTTTAAATTTGGAATGATTTCAGATTCATAAAAAGTCACAAAAGTATGAGAATTATTCTATATTTTTGTGACTCTGTGATAAATTTAACAGGTATAAGCTTGGCAGGCTCCTGTGCACAAGGAGCAAGGAATTGCAAGTGCAAAGCAGCTACATTTATTGAAGATCAGGGGAAGTGCTCAAGGCAAGAAATGTATGGCACAAACAAAAAATGGTGCCAGGACGACAGGAAAACTAAAGCACTGCATACAGAACACAGCACACAGTACACAGCAGCAGCCCCAGAAAAATCAGGGTTTTGGAATTTAAAGGATATGCACCTCAGCCCAGCCTTCCCTGACTGTAGGTATAATTGACAAGAATCATTGACAGGGTGCTGTGTTATCTCAGGTGCCCTCAACATGCATGCCTGTCCCAGAATTCACTGTGATCTTAATTACATGCATGAACCCTTAACAAGGGCGGAGTAGGGGAAAGGTGACTGAAGGTCAGGCTAGGAGATCCAGCATGCATGTGCTCTCAATGAGAACATCAGAGATTATCTGGGGTTTTGTTATGTGATTCTCTACCTTTCTTAGCACAATGGAAAGAGGAATAGTACTGCTTTCTCTTAGAACAATGGTGACAAAAAATTGTATCTGGGTATGATACTAACGCCAGTAATCCAAGAATTCTGGGGAGCTGAGGCAGGATGATTGTAAGTTTGAGCTGAATCTGGGTAATTTAGTGACTTAGTGAGACTCTGATTCAAAAATTTAAAAAAAGGGCTGGGGGATGTAACTGTTATGAAGGCCCTATATGAATGTTCAATATAAGGGTTCTGAATGAAGGTTCAGTACCATCAAAAAAGGAGAGAGAAAGAAAAGAAGAAGAAGAAGAAGAAGAAGGAGGAGGAGGAGGAGGAGGAGGAGCAGAAGAGGAAGAAAGAGAAGAAGAGGAAGAAAGAGAAGAGGAAGAAAGAGAAGAAGAGGAAGAGAAGGAGGAAGAGAAGAGGAGGGGGAAGAGAGAGAAACAAGCTGGGAGACTTAAATGCATATCACTAAAGGAAAGAAGCCAGTCTGAAAGCCTGTAAACTGTGTTACTCCAACTCTTTCATCCTGGAGGGGTAAAGCCAAGCAGACAGTTGCCAGGGGCTGGTGGGGGAGGAGGGTGAAGGATTTTCTAAAGCAGTGAAATAGTTCTGTAGGATTTAGTAACAGTGAGCTCAAAACACTATATATTTGTCAAAACCCATGGAACTTTATACACAGAGTGAATTTTATGTAACTACAGGCTAAATAAGGTACATTTGTTTGCCTTTATCCTTTGTACGTGTGTGGTACTGAGAGTTGAACCCAGAGCCTCATGCATGCTAAGCAAGTGTTTACTATTGAGATGTGCCCCTAACCCTGTTCTTATGATAAAGAAGAATAGGGTTCTTTCAGCCAAAGTAAGTGACTTTATTTTTTATTGTCATTCTGCCTTCCTGACCTGTCACCCAACTGGCCCAGCCACCTGATCTTCCAGCCTCTCTGTGTCTAGGTAAGCTGAGACACCAGCCTGATTGTGTGCATGACCTGTTCTGTCATACTGGGTTCAGACCCAGGATGGACTGTGAACTCATGAGGGCCACATATGGCTCCAGTCCCCAGGTGATGGGAAAGAGCCCTGTACCCACGACAGACTGGGACAGTTCTGGGAATTTCTTTTTTTTCTTTTTGTCTTTCTGAGACAGGTTCTTGCTGTGCAGTTCAGGCTGGTCTTGAGCTCACATAGCTCAGGCTGGTCTCAAACTCTCAATGATCCTCCTGCCTCAGCTTCCCAAGTGCTGGGATTACAGGCGTGCATCACCTTGCCTGGCATGGGAATTTCTGTAGGTCTGAGGAACTCAGGAAGCTGAGTGGCTGGGGGAGAAGCAGCAGCCTCACTGGAGGGCGGGCCCTGTGTTCTTTCACATGTCCCTGGCTGTCCCTGAGATTCTCAAGCCCCTAGTCCAGTCCCGGTTAGCATGTGCTCCCTATACTAGAGCTCTTTCTCAGTCTTCGCCACTGGGTCCTCACCCATTTGCATCTCTCCTTCACTCACTCCTTTTTATCCACTCTTTCAGCCTTTACCGATTTCAGCTGGGATGTTGTCCTGAGGGGCCCGAAGTCCAGGGTCCTCTGTCCAAAGGAGGGCCAAAGGCCCCCAGCTCCAAAAGGGACAGAGTCATATGCACAGAGGCTACAGTGAACCCTGACCCAGCACAGCATCAAGGTTATACATGCTCATTCCTAGGAGTCTGCCCCACCACAGCTAGATTGGGCCCTCAGCACCCTTGTCCCCTGCAACCTTGAGACTCAGAGATTTCAGAAGCCCCAACACCCCACACCCTGGGGAGGGAGCAGGGGCCACTGTGCTGCAGTGTGTGTGTGTGTGTGTGTGTGTGTGTGTGTGTGTGTGTGTTTGATGGTGGTTGAAACTTGGAATGAAAATTCATAAGTACAAGTGGAGGGGAGGGATCCTGCTTCAGCAAGGAATGAAAATTCATAAGTACAAGTGGAGGGGAGGGATCCTGCTTCAGCAAGGAATTCTGAGACTCTGGGCAGCCTCCTGGGAACAGGGAGGCCAAGGCATGGGGTCATCCAGACCCACTGAGGAGCTACTGGGCCCACCTTGGTCCCAAAGGGAAATGACAGCTGATCAGTGAGTTGTGGGATCATGGGAGTAGGTGAATGGGGGGCATGGTTGCAGACTGTAGGGGGCAGGGAGGGAGCCTGAGAGAGGGATGCTGGCCAGTCCTTCCTCTTATCAAAGGCCCTGCTCTTAGCACCCTCCCTAGTCCACTGGGACATGCCCATCCCCATGCCCAGGGGTGCTTGCTCAGCCTGGAAGCCCTGGGACTGACATCAGTCCCTAGTGCCTCCCTGGTCCTCACCTGTGCTCTCACCTGGTCACCCTCCTGCTCATTCTTCCCAGGCTAGACGTGCGGCTCACATCCATCGGGCTTCACTTCTTGTAGCAAACAGTGACTATGTCACGACTCTTGCCTGGCCCTCTGCCCCACGCTCTTCTGCATCCCCGCACCTCCCCTCCACACCTGAGCCTCGAACACTCTGCACACATGCTGGGCCCCTGAAGCAGGGGCAGTCCGGTCCTCCTGTGGCTGTGGAAACCTGCATGGTTCTGAAGACATTCTGGCTGCAACACCCACAGAGGCTGTATGGAACTGGACGGGGGCACGGGTCTGTGGGCAAGGGACAGTGAAGGAGCAGGAGCCAGGCATGGAGTAATGAGAGTTTATTGTCTCTGAGGAGTGAGGGTTGTGATCCCAGCACATGGTGGGGGGGATTACTGTGTTCCTCTGCCTGGCTTCTGTAGGCAGCAGTGGCTGAGATGGAGAAGGAGGAGCTAGAGTCTGGTCTTAGTAGCCTCTTCTTGTCCTTCACAGGGGCCTGACAGCCTACTCAGGGCAGGAACGTTGTACAAGGAGCCCTCTCCTCAAACCCAAAAGCCACCTTCTTTTCTGTGCGAAGCAAGGCCTGTTTTCCTGCCTTCCTGAGTGAAGATGTCAGACAAGGGCATGGTGGGGTCCAGGGTGGAGATCAAGGTGCCCTCTTTGGCACCTCCTGTGGGCAGTATCCCCCTGGGTGTCCTGGAAGGGACAGAGGATGGCAGCCAGAGGTGGAGAACAGGATGTACCAATGGCTGAGTGGGGGTGTCGGGTGAGGGTGCTCATAATAGGGTCCACAGGAAGCTCAGGCCCACTAGTGGCAGGACCTCCTCTCGCCTGACCCAGAGCCCCTCCTGCCTGGTGGGTGCCTTGTTGCAGAGATTCTTGGAGCAGCAATCCCTGACAATCCTGGCCTGCAGCCCAGGTTTCGGTGTCCACTCATACCAGCTGTTGGAGTTGGGACATCTTGGGGCACAGCGCTTGCTGATCTGAGCTTTCATTCTTGAACCTGTAAAGACAGGAGATGGTGGGTGGCCCCAGAGATGCAGGTGAGGGGGAGAGGTGTGGGGGCTTTCCATTTGAGCAGTGGGATCTGGCCTTCCAAGGGACACTGAAGCTGCCATCTGCTGTCTGTTCACAAGCGGGGCTGTCCAAGGTTACCTCCAATAGGCACAGCAAGGAGCTGGGGCTCTTCCTTTTAGCCAGACAAGCCTGGGCCACCTCCTGCCCAGGACATGGGAATCAGGGGAAACGGAGTGAAGGGGGAAGAATGCAAAGGCACTGATAACCACAGAGGACCTGGGGAGTGCCCAGGGGGGCTGTTTGTCTAAAGTTGTAGCAGGGTCTTCAGGAGAGTTGTAATTTCTAACAACCAGGAAGCCATCATCCCAATCTGATTAGAAAATGGGTCATTTAGGGTTGAAATCTACCTCTTATGCTGTGTTATAATTTCCTATTATATTGAATCATATATTTTATTGTATTGTATTACAGTATACTAAGTTGCAATGTATTCTGTGATATAGCATGGCAATTATTTATGTCCTAGTATAATATGTTGCAATCTACTACGTCGTATTACATTGTACTGCATTATGATGTATTATGCTATGCTTTATTACACTGAAGTGTATTGTACTGTATGATAGCCCATTGCAGGCTACAAAGAACACTGCTCGGTGACACAGGATTTGGGGTAATGAAGGAGCCTCTAAAAGAGTGTGGAGCACTGGACCTCCTTTGAATCTCTGACTCTGAGCAGCTGTCCCCCAGATGTGCCCCACAGTGCAGGCAGTGCTGACCTCAAGGGCCAGGGAGCTTCCCCGGGATGGGTGACCCCTGAAGAGAGCCCTCAAACATCCCCACTTCCTGCATCAAGTACCCCTGTTATAACCTTCCAGGCCAAGAGAAGCTGTAAAGAAGATCTTGGGTGGAGTTCAGATAGAGGGCACAATATTAAAAGAAAAATAATGCTGAGGGTGAAAACAAGACTTAGTCCAAGTGTGAAATTCATTCTAGTTGGGAAAAAGGGAGACCATAGGGGCTGGGGCAGTCACCATAGGGACACGGGGGGCCTCACAAACGGCTGGCCTGCCAGTCCTTTTGCCACCTTCTTTGGGAAAAATCCCACCTTAACTAATGCTTTAACCTGCTGGGATGGCAGAGAACAAGGATTTGGGGTAATGAAGGAACAACTGGGTTCCACATCAGCTGTAATGGCCGTTGGAGGTGCCACGGAGGACATCATGGAGAACGTGCCCATTGTCAGAAGCCTGCTCCTGAGGAAAAGGCATCTCAATCCTACACCTCCACTTTAGAGACTGATCTACAGGAAGCCCAAGTGTGCTAGATGTGCTTTGCAGCATTGCTTCTAGGAAATCAGGACGGGAGCTGACCTGAGGTCCATTAGCGGAGTTGTGTGAAGTGAGTTTTCCTGCGACTGGCCCTCTAGGAGAGGGAAAGGCAGTTCTGCCAGGCTGGGGAAAAGGGGTGCTTGGTGGCCCAGGCAGCTGGGCAGGAGCTATGGTTGGAGGACCTGGGTCTCAGCTATCCAGCAAGAGCAAGAAATCCACATGTGCTCAGAACAGGTCTACTTGGGGCTCCTGGGACACTTTTATAAATGACTGCTTCCATGGGGATAGGAGACGTGTTCTTGGATCCCTTTATAATCCTCTTTATGACTTGTTCTTAGAATCAGGTCTTATTGCTTCTGAGACCCTGTAGTGTGCCATGTGAGGGGGCTGCCTTGGTGTGTGAGGGTCTTGGGTGGTAGGACAGGGCACAAGTTCCTGTCCAGGGATAGCAAGTCTCTGCTGCCTGGCTGACCCTCCTCTTGCCTCCCTCTTTGGTGAATTCAGTGACAGCAGAGTCTCTGTCCTGGTGACATTTTGGTGGGGGAGCTGTTACACAAGAGCTGGTCCTCCAAATGGCATGGGGAACATGAATAACCACAACCACCCCCCATCCCGGGGTGAGACTCACTGGTGTAGATGATCACCTCGTGGGAGACACAGACCTGGTCAGTGGTGCGGCACACGGCAGGCAGGCACTGGCTTATGCTGCTGACCTTGAAGCACTGGTAACAACTCAGGTTTGAGGCTGTGGGGACACAGCAGGCATGGGACCCTGGCCCCATTGCCCCTTTTTTTCCTCTTCTTTCTCTCTGGACTTCCACCCCAGCCCCATTCCTCCCCCAACCCCCTGGTCTTACCTGGCATTGTCATCTTGCCTCTCCTGATCTCCATGGATACCAGGGACACCCACAGCACCAGCACCAGCATGAGCCCCTCCATGTATCCTCCTCCCTGAGCTCTTCCTGATCCGTGCCTCTCTAAGGCCCTGGGATCTGACAGCCTCCTTATCAAGAAAGAGAAGCTGGGTCACTATGGCCTCTCAGCCAGTCCTGCCTCTGCCCTGAGGTCCCTTCCCCACCCACTACTGGGGCATGCCATGGGGACATAGCGCCCAGATCGTTTCCTGGATCAGGGCCAGGATGGCTCAGGGAAGGACAGCATGTCCCCGAGCCCCTGAGAGGATGGGGGTAATGGGACACCTTCCCTCTGGTGTGGTGGGAGTGGTCAGGGGCTGGAGACTGAAAGGACATCTAAGGGGGCTGAGCAAGCGGTCCATTGGAGACATGCTGGTTTGAGCACGAAGGGCAGGGAACGGGGAGAGGAAGACTGCCATCGGAGGAGAAAGAAGTGAGGAGGATGCTTGAGCACCTGAAATCAGGCCCCCTCCTCAGATCCCTTAGGTCGAGCGTGGGAAAAGTAGGCTCTACAGCTCAGATGGGAGTGAGGCACTGATACAGAGATCCCAATAGGTTCCCAGGCCATGCAGAAGCGCTGCTCCCTGGGGAAGCCAAGTCTGAGGGGCCTGAGCTGGGCTTTTGAGACCCAGGTCCTCAGACCACAGCCCCTGCCCAGGTGCCTGGGCCTCCAGGAGCCCCTTTTGCCCCAGGCCAGTCTCCTGACCAGTTGACTATCCCTGTGATGGGACCCAGCCAGGTTGTCATGGTGCTTGAATGCCTTGGGGGCCCACAGGGGTTGGGATTCTAGTTTCTTCCCTGCTGTATACTAGATTCCGTACAGAACAGCTCTCTGTTACCATTACCACAGCCCCACTCCCCACTTACCTTTACAGTCATCTACAAATCCTCCCCCTTGTCCCATTATTATTATTATTATTATTATTATTATTATTATTATTATTGGAGCCAAGCAAGCTGAACCAAGTTCTCTCTGGGTCATTGGAACCAGCTGGCCTGGAGGTTGCAGTCACTGAGGATACAAGGTGGAAGCTGCCTCCGACAAGCAAGGTGTCCCTGGGTGGTCTTTCTCCTATCTGGAAGTGCCCACAACCCTCTGTGAACCTCCACCACCTCACCAGGGGACCAGGATTTCTGCTGTGCCCAACCTAGGAGTGGGCAGGAAATGCTGCCTTCATCTTGAGGGCCACCAGCCCAGCACCTCCTGCGAGCCTCTCCCTGGACCCTGTCTCCTGAGCCCATCTCCCTAAGCTGTCAGATATGTCCACCTGGGGTCAGGGGCCATGTAGCTCTCACACTAGGTGTCAGGTTCATTCTTCCTTTCTCCTCTCTGGCCTCAAATCTTTACCCACATGTTTGAACACTGTAGCAAGGTGGTGGGGTATAGACCTGGAATTTGCATTGATGAACACAGCCCAGTTATATGTCCTCAGGAATCTCATAGGAGCTGAGCTGTAGACAATAAAAGGATAACTACTACTTGTAAGTGGCTGGGATGTGTGTGCCTACCTTCCCCAGGTGTCTGGCTTCCCCTTATAGGCTCAGTAAGCCCCTTGCCCTGCAGCCTGTTGTCCACCCACTCTCCATGCTGCGGTGTGTGGCCCAGGGTGGCTGTGCCTTCTGACCCCACCTGTCCAGCCACAGCTTCCTCTGATCCTTTTATCCCGTGATACTTCTGCCCTTTTTGCCACCAGCCTCTGGGTGGGATGGGCTTGGAGGGGATGGAACTGAAAATATTTGGAGGGGAGGGGTCACGTGCACTTACTCATTTCTTATGTTATGCATCTATGCATTTGGTGTTCTTGCTGCAATTGATTTGACTGTGAAATTCATAAAGTCAAAACCAAGGGGAGCAGTGGAGGGGCATGTGGTGAAGGAGCCTGGATGGAAGGATGCAGGTCGGGAGGAAATCTGTTCATTTGGAGCCTGGGACTGATGGTGGAGTGTCCTGGAAACCCACTTCATGGTCACTCAGGTGACAGGTGGAGTGAGGTTGAATCTCCTCGGGATGAGGTTCCTGGGCCCGTGGTAAGCGGCGACACTGTGAAAAGAGACACTGGAGACCAGGCTGATGGCGCAGATCCATTTTATTGTGGAAGTATCAGGCTTTTTATTGAGCAGGCTAGAGGCATGGCAATAGAGGCGGGCTAGGGGCGTGGTTTGGAGGTGGTACTATTGAAGAGGGGCGGTGCGGAAGTAAGAGGTCAGAGCGGGACAGGCTAGGCGGGCGACTCACTCGGTTTGCTGAGGACATGACAAGTGTGAGTTTGCTCAGACCCGCTCCTCTGCCACAGCCTTCAACCAGACCTCTGGACCCCTTTTTCCCACAGTGGAGGGCCAAAGTCAGAGTCTCCCTTGGCTTGACTTTCCATTGTCCGAATGCTGCCTGGGAAGGATGCCAGGGGGTTGTGACATTCACCTGGTAAAAATAGCCACTGGTGCGTGTTTTAGAAAGGGAAGGAACAGGACAGCAAATATTGTCATAACACAATGCACACAATTAGGATATGTGTTATGTTATGAAAATTTTGACTTAAATGTAATGTATGTGTTTTGAGATATGTATGCAAATATAAATACTGCTTTAAATATGCAAATATATATATATATATTTTTTGTTTGTTTGTTTTGTTTTTTTCTCCGGTACCAGGAACCGAACTCACGACCTTGCGCTTGCCAGGCAGGCGCTTTTGCCGCTGAGCTAAATCCCCAGCCCCGCAAATATATATTTGTGTATATATGTTTTAAATATGCAATATTTATTTATGGATGTTAATGCTATTAATATGCTGGTTTGAGATATATTGAATATGTTTTATCTTGTAAATATATAGTATTTATGTTCCTATGTTGTAAATCAGTGTTAATCTGTTATAAATGTGTCACGCATGGCCAGGCATGGTGGCACCTGCATGTAATGCCAGCACTTGGGAGGCTGAGACAGAAGGATCACTGAGAGTTTGAGGCCAGCCTGGGCTACACAGTAAGACCCTGTCTCAAAAAAATATATATCATGCAGGTATAAATGTTTATATGTTACATGTTTAGATGTCATATAAATTTTTTCTTGAGGCTATTTTAACTGTAAGGGAATTTTAGCTCAGTCAAGGAAACTCAGAAACCATGTATTGAAGGACAGTGGGCAACTCTTATCCCTCACCTTATGGTGGCCTCTAGCACCAGGGAGCTGGGCATCAAGATCCATATTACAGGTGTGTGTTCAAACCCCAGTAGAGACACAGATAGAAACAATCAGTAGAACTTTTCCTGGGAAGTGGATCTTGGTGTGATGTCCAGAGGTGACCTGTGACATATCTTGAGGTCAGCTCCATGATCTCCCTCACTGTGTTTTTTTGTGCACTATGGTTGATATACTGTGTCAACTTGCCGAGTCCTGAAGCTTAACTAAGTAACTCAACAGTTCTATATCCCGAGATGGAAAGGACATGCCCTTCCTCCTCTAGGATGTTGTTCATTGTGTCAACTTGAGAAGTTTAACTATGTGACTCAGCAGGGAGCTGGGGTCCTTACTTTGTATTCATCTTGAGGCTATGCAAGAGGAGGGCACAAGATGGTGTGGGCATGGGTGGATATCTGGCATACAATATAAGGGGGGAAAAGAGGCTTGCTCCCGTCCCCTTCTTTTCTTGCTGCTTTTGCTGTCTTCCACCACCTTGAGGTGCTGCCCCTGTGCCATGCCATTCTCACTTGGAGCCAGCTGATTATGGACTGAACCCTCCACAAACTGTGAGCTAAATAAATCTTTCCATTCTTAATTTTGGGCATTGGGTATTTTGTCTCAGTAAGGAGAGAAAAGTAACCAAGACACTGGAATGCCAAGCTGAATTTCAACAGGAAAGATCACAGTGTTCTTGCTAAGCTTATATAAATGGCCCTGTTTCCTTTTCACCTTAGCTGCTGGGAAGCTCAGAGCCTAATGTTTGCCCCAGGCACATGCACGAGGCCTTGTAGGTTTCTTAATTGCCTCTCCTAGTTCTGCTCTTGTCATTCCTTATTTGCCTTCGTCCTCTTCCTTTTTGGCCTTCTTTGAGTGTCTGGTTCTTAGATACTGTGGTTCTTTAACTCTTTGGCTGTACATAGACTTGATGACTCGGCCTCCACCAGACTCCAGTTCCTGGGCCTCCAGAAGGAGGTCCTGCCCTGGTCCTACCTCAGTCAGGCGACTCTGATCAGCTCACTCTTGGCTGGTGTTGACAAGCAGGGCGCAGGCAGTAGTGGCTCTTTGTGCACAGGCCCCGCTCCTCCCACCTGGAGCAGCCGACCTAGCGCTCTGGTGTTTGGGGCTGACAGTTGATGTGACTGTGTTCTAGTTTTAATTCCAAGTTCAGTGACATCGTGATGCTGGAGTCCCTCAGGCACTTAGCCCTCCTCATTCATTCTGCAAACTCAGGCACACAGTGCACCAAGGACGCCTTAAGCACTTTTTGTTTGTGCTCAGTGCCCAGATCGTGCTTATTTTCGCACTGGTACATTACCCATGCTAGCAATATTCTTGGGCCCAATGCAGGATTCATAAAAAAACACAAATGACATAGTCATGTGTATTGAAATACAGAAATCTTGATACACTGTGGCTGAAGGAGGATTTTGTTGGAAATTAGAAAAGGATAAAATGAAGAACCTACCTGTCAAAATCAACAAGAGCTGTCCCTGAAGGGAATAGCCCCTGTGCTTGCATAGGTAAATAGGAGAGCAATAGTTTTGAGGAATTCCAATTAATTTTCTTTGGCACCTTAGTGAGTAAGAGGGAGATGTTCTGCAGATCAATGCTGAAGGTAGCGGTGGAGGGGGAGATGGCTGGGAGTCTGAAGGTGACAAACCAAGTGTCAGGCTTTGGCATGCGGAAGCCCCAGTGTAACAGAGCAGGAAGGCATGGGATGAAGAGTGACAGGACAGGAAACAGACACAATCACAAGGGTCAAAGCTGTTTCTTAAAAACAACCTAAATTAGACACATTTCTGGCAAACTAAGGAAATGGAGTCCACCTATGAATCAAGTGAATGGACACCAGGGACAGATTTACAGATTCTAGATAGGAAAAAGGCTTTCACTTCTGATTGGCCTGTGGAAGCAGCTTGAAACCTGCCTTCTGGTTGTACCAGTGAGAGTAGAGAACTGCACCTGCGGGTCCTCAGTGCTGTCCAGTGCCCTGCAGAGCGGTGCTGTGAGGCCCAGAGAAGCCATGGGGAAGGGCAGGTGCCTGCAGAGCAGTGGATGGGGCAAGAGCTGAGTCTGGGGACAGGCAGACAGTGCTGTCCTGCAGCAGGGGCTCCGCCTGGGGAGAATATGCCGTTTCTTGATTATTTGGTACATAATTTCTGACACGTTACCAAAAATTATAATAAATATAGGAAGGTGTTATTTTCAATCAAGAGAAAACCTGTTCAGTGGAAGCAGACACATAGGTAACCCAGACAATGGAATTAGCAGATGAGTGCTTTATAGTACTACTGAACTGTATTAAATAGAATAGATGAAAAGGTAGACAAAATAGTGAAAAGATGGAGAATTTCAGCAGAGAAATGAAAGATATAAGGATAAGGGCTTATTTGGAGCTAATGAATGCCTAAAATTAAGAACTTTCTTAATGGGCTTAATAGTAGACTAAATTCACAGAAGAAAAAAAAAAAGAGATTAATGAAGTTTAAGATAGGTCAATAGAAATGACCCAAAATGAAGCATAGAGACAAAATTGAATGAGAGAGCAAGAGAAAGGAGCGAGAGTAGGAGGG